GAATTTGTAACTGAACAAACTAGTCAAGGATTGGAAAATGAAATATAAGAAAAATTTGCTTACATAAAAAGTAAAATATTGTTGCATACTTTCATCTCTGGTTTTATCCAAAAGGCTTAACAAGATTTTACATTTTTCTTGAGAAAACAGAAGAGTGATAAACTACACAGACATTCACAGAATATAAAACTAAACCAAATAAAAAAAAAAAAAGAAAATGAAAAATGATTTGAACATTCCTTAGTGATCATGCTTGCATGCAATGTGCTACTGATAGTTTACTAGATGTCAGAAAGTTAAACAGATCATACCTTTTTTAGAAAGACTAAAGAAGTCAGGTTCTGTAGTTTTGTACTCCTCAGTACAGGTATAGGCTGAAAGAAGGAAGAAGGCAATATATTTAATTAAAAAAAGATTAAAACAGATGAGCCAGATGTAACCAGTCTATACACACAACAGAAATCAGAAACATGCACAGAATCATAAAAAGTAAAATTTATTTTTCAAAAACATCATTGGAAACAAAGATTTTGGTACTGGAGGGAAAGCATGGTTTGATTTGTTTTGGTTTGTTTTACGGCGTATCAACCTCAATGGGTTATTTAATGGCGACAACTTTTTTCCTGGTAATATTTTTGTTTTGTCAAAAAATATTTTTTTCCTCAAAAATGTATAGCTGGTAATATTTTTTCAAAAAACATAGCTGGCAACACTATTCTTTCAAAAAAAAAAAAAAAAAAAAAAAATAAACATAGCTGGCAAAACTATTTTTTCAAAAACGTATTATCAGAGGCCTTGATGTTGGACGTAGTTTATTGTCATACCCAGGACGTGGATGTAGTTTATCGTCATACCCAGGACGCGTAACAATTTGGAATTCATACTATAAATTGTTCTAGAATATCAGGATTTTGCTACTGGCATGAAAGTGTATCATCTTTTATGTGCTGTGTCCCTTCAGGACATAGGTGATCATGGCTCTCCACAACTTCCTGTCCTTTGTAGCTCTTAATAAATTGTCTTTTTGTTATCTCACCTAAACCTTTTTCTGCCATCCATGTAGGTTATGTTTTTTTTCTTAGACCATCTTGCTTTCAAACTGTCCTGTAAGTATAAAATTTTCAAAGACGTCTTTCCTTAGATTTCAACCGTCTCTTTCTGATGTTATGTACAAGTGTTTTTTTTGTTTTCATTTTCTCTAAAATTGCCTTGTTGCTCACATGTTCTGTTCACAGACTAAATCAAGAATGACAATTTGCAATCCAGACCGAATTGGTCTAGCATGTCAGGATTTTGTATTACATGTGTGCCTTAAATCTTTTCTTATATTAATTACAATATTACACTATTACTTTTAACTAAATGGAGTCCGCTGATGTTGAAACAATACTCAGAATTATTCTAGTACATCAGATTTTTTAATAAGTGCATAGTATATTTATCTTCAAGGCAAATATTATATTAATAGCATATTAATAATATTAATATTATATTAATAGTATTTACATTTAGAGATTCTTGATAATATCCAAAGAAGAATTTGCAATGATATCAGTCCTGACCTGGCATCTCGGCTTCAGTCACATTCCCACTGCTCTAACATAGCTTCCCTGTGCCCTTTCTATAAATACTTTCATGGTAATTATTCTGATGAACTTTCTGCTATGGTACCTAGACTTTAAGTCTAGATTTAAGTGCAATACTAGATTAGCGGCAAAGGGTTCATCATTTCATAGTTGAAATGGCTAGATGTAACCGTACGTTCTATGCTAACAGTTCCTTCTATCACACTTCTTGTTTGTGGACGTCTCTTCCGGCTTTGCACTTCCCAGTCAACTTTGATCTTCAAAAATTTGAATGCAGTGTCAATTGTTATCTTTTGTCTTCTTAATTCATTCATATCTTCTCTTTAACAGTAGTTTTTTTCATATTCTCTAACTCAATAACTATTTGCATCCTAGTGGTTTTGTTGCCTTCCTTGGGGTGAAATGATAAAAAAAATAAAAATAATATTAATATCCAGTTGAGTTGGTGGCATAGAATTCATTTGTGTTCATTGTACAGAACATTATTGGTTCTCATAGAGCTGAAAGCTATGCTGGTTTAATAACCAACATTCTGACAGAAGAATGGGATAGTTAATTTTTTTTTTAAATACACTTCTTGCATTCTTATATTTTCTAAACAAATCTAGGTGATGAGTATGGCAAGAGATTCTTGTAGGATGGAATATAAAGGTAATATTTAGTAATATATCATTTGCCTTGTACAAAAATATACTAGATACAGTACTAAAATACTATTATGAATTTAAGCATTCTACTAGGTTGGCATTTTGGTCCCACCCTTTTACTGTCAAAACAGTTAAATGTAACCACCTCTTCTACTCCAAAATCTTCTTCTCTCACACTTCCCAACAGTGAAACTCCCTTCCTCTTACTTGCTTCCCTGATAACTATAATCTTCAGAAATTTAAATGTAAAGTCAATCGACATCTTCTGATGCTTTGATCTTGATCCCCATCCTTCTCTTTATCCTTTCTGCAAACACCCCTCTTTACTTTTACTCTCAGTAACCTCTTGCATGCTAGTGGCACTCTTACTTTGCTTGAGGTGAAATGCTTAAAAATAAAAAAAATAATATTTACCTTGAACATAAATATGCTCTGTACTTATCTGAAATACCTAACATGTTAGCATAAATATGCTTTTTTTTTTTTTAGATATTTGCATAAATAAAAAAAAATCTTCATGTACTAGGATAATTCTGAGATGTGGTTCTACAGAAGGATACTAAGAATACCATGGATGGAACATGTGAGCAATGAGGAAGTTTTAAGGAAAATAGGAATGAAATGACAATACTTTCCCAGCAGGATAGTAATATTTATGTTTCTTTTTGTTTTTCTTTAGTCTACAGCACATGAACCAAAAAAATGAAAGCATTCTTAAAATATCTTCACTGTTAATGCTATATGTAAACAAAAATGGATTGCAGCTCGGATTGAGGAATTGGAAATCTGGGTTCATTACATTCTCTTACATGCTAATACTCTTGGGAAAGGGTATGAATCCAATTCTTCTCCCCCAAGCTATGGATAAATAGTAGGACAGACTGGATTCTAGAGCATTGAGTGGAAACCAGTCTAAGAGAAGGAAAAGGAAAACTGAATTCAAAACTGCATGTAGCCCTGTCGAAGCACATACTATACAACTAAGAAAAGGAACATTTGCATTGACTCAATGATCTTGACTGCAGTTGATTCCTTTTTAAAAGAAACAAATAATTAGCACAATGTGTATTTATCAAAAGAAAGCTCTATTTAGGTTTGTGACTCTTTGACAAAAATAAATTACAAGTATTGAGCTTTTCATGTGGGTTTTGTTTCAGTGCACAATCTTTCATTACAACTCGGTTGTTTTGGCCCCAGACAAAAAAGCAGTCAGAAAATAGAGAATATGAACATGATATCAGCCAGCAAGCTGACACTCTTTAATTACAAGAAAACATATGTACAATCAGAAAGAGATAGTGGAAATATCTAGAGACCATAAAATGAGAAAAGAGTGCCTGGAGAATTTGACACTCACAGTGCATACTGAAGGTAAACAGTGAGTAATCTACTAAATGAATTTGTGTAAGCGGATGACAGGGTGGAGACTGGGAGAGATGGTAAGGGGAAAATGTTGCATAGAGATACAAAAGATAAGAAGCTGTGGAGAGCCATAATCATCCAGATATTGAAGAGAAATGGCACATAAAAGATAGGAAATTTAGTCTATGTCTGGGTGGGAGACAAAAACTATTTCCTAAGTAACAGCATCTGTGAGAATAAGATATTTAAATATGACATGATTTATTTATTATAGATATTTTCATAGCTTAGCATGATGTACAAAGTTAAATGTAGTGAAATGAGATTAAGAAGATTGTGTTGCACCATGTCTTAACAGGAAGTCTGATAGTTTCTACAAAGTAAAACTGGCAGCTGATCTAAAAAATAACATCCAATCAGTTGTTAACTTGAGCAAGAAATAACTTTTAAATTTGAATGCCTCCAAAACAAAACTGCTATCCTTTAATCATCACAGGGAACAAATTGTTGCCCTCTATCAACATCTAAACTCCAGAAAAGCAAATAATTGCACCCTCTTGGTCTCACATTTCTCACTGACATAAAGTGGAGTGATTATAGTGGATCATTTGCTAGGTCTGTTGCTAAGAAGGTTGGTTCACAGTGTTGTGCTAGACAATTTTTCTTGTCAGAAGCCATCTTACACATTTATAAATCTACCCTTCATCCATGCATTGAATATTGCTGCCATATCTAGTCTACTGCTCTTACTATATATCTTGAGATTCTTGACAAAATTTTAAAAAAAAAAAAAAAAAAAAAAAGGCTCTGTAATATAATCGATCTTGCATCTCAACTTCAGTTACTTTCTCACTGAAATGCCATGGCTTCCCTCTGTCATTTCTATAAATAAATTTTGTGGTAGTTGTTCTAATGGAGGAGATCTCCTCCTTGGTACCTTGTCCATATGAATATAAGTGTACTACTAAAATTGGCACCTTGTTTTAATTTTGAAATAACTAGATGTAAGTGCAAGTTCTTTTCTCACACTTCTCACCTGTGGAACTCCCTTCCAGTTTATTGCTTCCCTACCACCTACAATCTTCAAAAATTTAAATGCAATGTCAACTGTAATCTTTTGTCTTCCTGAAACCTGTTCTTTTATTGTCCTTTCTCCTCATTCTCTTTCACTACCACTAATCCCCTGTGTTTTAGTGGCATTATTGCCTTGCTTTGGGTGGATTTAAAACAAAAACAGTGTTCTAAATCCTAGGCTTTTTATCTAATGCTTGGCCAGCAAAGTTAGTGAAAAATACACAACTCTCACCCACCAGGCAAGGCTTATAAATTAATCCTGATAGACCTGCAGCTGCACAGGTTTAAATTGTAATGGTTAGCCATCTGTCCTTAACCCTAGAGTATTTAACTATTTTTTATTAATATTTACTAAGCTTAATATGGCATAAGACCAAATGAAGGAAATGGAAAGGAAAGTAAAGTGGGGAGGGGAGGAAAGGAAAGTAAAGTGGGGAGGGGAGGAAAGGAAAGTAAAGTGGGGAGGGGAGGAAAGGAAAGTGGGGAGGAAAGAAAAGTAGGGAGGAAAGAAAAGTAGGGAGGAAAGAAAAGTAGGGAGGAAAGAAAAGGAAATTAGGGAGGGGAGGAAAGGGAAAGTACGGAGGGGAGGAAAGTAAAGGAGGGGAGGAGGAAAGAAAAGTAGGGGAGGGAGGAAAGGAAAAGAAAGGAAAGGAAAGGAGGGTGGGGGGGGAGGAAAGGAAATTAGGGAGAGGATGGGAGGGGAGGAAAGGAAATTAGGGAGGGGAGGAAAGAAAGTAGGGGAGGGAGGAAAGAAAAGGAAAGGAAAGTAGGAATTGAAAGTAGGGAGGGAGGAAAGGAAAAGGAAGGTAGGGAGGGAGGAAAAGGAAAGGAAGGTAGGGAGGGGAGGAAAAGGAAAGGAAGGTAGGGAGGGGAGGAAAGGAAAGGAAGGTAGGGAGGGGAGGAAAAGAAAGGAAGGTAGGGGAGGAAAGGAAAGGAAGGTAGGGGGGAGGAAAGGAAAGGAAGGTAGGGGAGGAAAGGAAAGGAAGGTAGGGAGGGGAGGAAAGGAAAGGAAGGTAGGGAGGGGAGGAAAGGATGGTAGGGAGGGGGAGGAAAGGATGGTAGGGAGGGGAGGAAAAGATGGTAGGGAGGGGGAGCAAAGGAAAGTAGGAAAGTATTTTTTTATATACATACACTTAAAAAAAAAAAAAAAAAAAAAAATACATGTAAAAATTCACTTTGAGGGTTATAAATAACATTTACCTTGAGTGACTTGAAATGGGTTCCAAAAAATGGAGGAACACCAAAATTAGTTGTAAACAGTTATAAAAGCAGACAAAAACAGATATAGTAACTAATTGTTATTAACTATAGTAACAAAAAAATAGATACAGTAACATTTGAAAGTACTCAAGGTAGGGGGACAAAAAATAAAAATTAAGTTATATTTACCCATTATACAGGGCATAGATATATCTTGCACATATGCCACTACTGTCATACAGTAATGTGGGGGGTATTTATTTCCTTTTATAAAATAAGTAATACATAAATTTGAAAAATTTTATAAAAAATCAGATAGACAGAACTTGCCTATATTATTCAATAAAACAGGTTTGAAAATATATTTGTAAGAATTAGTTATTGACATTATTCATGTGCATAAAGATTCCTTTTCAGAAATGGATATGGATGGTATTTTTATTTACAGTAAGTATATATATATATATATATATATATATATATATATATATATATATGACAAATAATTGCCTGGAAGATAAATACAATTGCATTTGTTTTGGTTAATTTCTAATGGAAAAAAATAACAAGAAAACTAAAAAATATCTATTGGGAAAAATTGTTCAATAAAATTGTTTTTGAAAACAATTCTCTTACATGGATATTAATTAAAAAGAAAAAAAATATAGTCTTACACCAAATGGTTACAAAGTGTAACTGTAACTATAAAAGATATTTCATCAAAATAGAAAAGAAGTACACACCTTCCTCATAAGTAACATTTATTTTTGTTACATTAAAACCTACTGATGAATCCATTAAAAATGAATACCAAATTCAAAGGCATCGTATGAAACAATTGGTGATTTATAGCAAACAGAAAAAAATATTTTCAATTATCCTGTAAAGCATTGGTATGCAAACCAGTCTGGCAAATCATTTTCTAATGTAATAAATTTCATATTTTGAAATCTTTATGTAGATAGAAACATCTATCTACATAAAGATTTCAAAATATACACACATTTTATCAGGCTTTTTTTTATACTGTGTATAATACATCAATATCAAAATATGTAATGATTTTATATCAAACACTTACTGAAAAATATTCACTAAAGCAGGAGGGACCAGAAACAAATATGGGCTTTTAAGGGTATCCGATGAGGGTTCAAATCTCATGAAAGGATACTTTATTTCAAATTCATAATTCTTACTCAAAGGTCATACAATGTGAAATAATTTATTCCAATAATGACAATTTTAAATTTGTGAGATAAAAAAAAAAAAGAATCATTGAAAATTACATGTATTATATTGTCAGTAATGAGTAACAATAGAAAAGATTTTTAAAAATTTGATAATTTGGTATTTCTTTCTGCAGATCTTGCAGAAATATCAGTTTTATAAACTATTACCAAATATTCACTTAAAGGAATATAGAGGATGAAAAATTGCCTCAAACTTAAAAAAAGCAGTTTTATCACCAAAATATTTGTGCTGTTAGTAAGAGTAAAGAACAAAGGATATTTCGATGTAAAAAAATTTTTTTTAGTCTTTTTAGAACCTTTGAAATTTTGGTAAAAAATCTTGCTTTTCTGGCATCGACATAGGATCATACATTTATGTGAGGAATTTATGCATCATTTGTGATAAAAATCACATTGATTTGGAAATTCTTGCAAAAATCAATTACTTTTTCTCAAATAACGTTTCAGAAAAGTATATCTTATTTTTGAATGATTTTTTTAATATATAGAGTTGTGTTGACAGATTTGTTAATATGGAGGATTTCATCAATTTTAATGATAATCTAATAAAAAAAGAATATAATAACGTATTTTGCTCATTGGAAATACTAAATTTAATCTATTAGCTTGGAATAAAAACTTCAAGATTTTTCATTTTTTAAAATGCATTTTAAACCTTATGAATCACTTTTTTGGAGGTACATTACATTATATATATATATATATATATATATATATACACATATATATATAATGTTATGTAAAACTTAACTGCTATTGTCAATGCTGTTTTGAGAAAATTAAGGGGTTTGAATTAAAGATGGTTAAACACAAACCCCTTTGTGACAACCCTGCAATGGTGGGTGGTAAAAGTAAAATCAGTTGATGACTGAACCATAAAATTAACCTAAATACAAATATAAATAAAATTAAAAAAGGTCCTTTCACAAATCCTTAACAGTGTGAAAATCTTCCAGACCAACAAATAACTACTCTATTGGCATTTGTTTGTATACATAATATATAAGTAGGTGTGCATCTATTAAAAATAAACCAAGCTGTTGTGAAATAATTATATTTCCACAAAAGAAGTTTAATTCTAAATAGCAGGTTTGTAGAAACATTCATGGAAGTTATCACATCAAAGAAAGGGTAATATTAAAAACTTTGTAAGGGAAATATTTGCTATGTCATTTGTGTAGAAGTTTACTTGCTGTTCCTGTCAGATTCCTCAGTATAAATCAAAATTAAAGTTCAAATTCCTCAAACTAAACAATTTTGGTTAATACACGTTAAAGACCATTTTCATGATCCTTAATAATAGTCGTATATTTACATGTTATGATCATACTAGTTAACCTATGAATGTGCAGATGGATTAATGGTTACTTTCTGAAAATGAAACTGAATAACCTAGTTCAAATTCTGGTTGAGACGGTTTGTGCTTATTTTACACTAATGCCCTAGGAAAAGGCATGAATTCATCTCTTCCCCCCCTCACAGTTTTAGGTAAAAACAACAAAACTAGGCAAACTGATCTCTTTAGCCCTGATTGGCAACTAGTCTAGAGGTAGAGTTGAATTCAAACCATGAAGAAACCACTCTTTCCTAAAAACAATCATACAAATGCAGCTTACAGATATCAACGAAAATGAAAGCTGTTGAGTGCCAAGATGGTCTGTATCATGAAGAGACATGTTGCTTAACAAAAGTTGTAAGAAAAAGACAGCAGCATTTACATAATTTTGTAGTTGCATTGTACTTAAAAAATATCAAAACCCTTTTTATGTGTATGGTTTGGTTTGGTTTGTTTTACGGCATATCAACCCCAATAGGTTATTTAATGCCACCAAAATTTTCATTGCTGGTGATATTTTGCTTTGTCAAAAATCTATTTCTGCTATTTTTTTTTTTTTTTTCAAAAATGTGTTGCTGTAATAATTTATTTCAGAAAACTATTGCTGGTAATATTTTTTTTCCTTAAAAATGAATAGCTGGTAATAGTTTTTTTCTTCAAAAATTTATTGCTGGGAATATTTTTTTTTTTTTTACAAAGTATTTCTGATATTAAAACCCGTTTTTACACTTTCATAGTGTTTTTACCCCAGTTTCAGGGTTAACTATTTTCCCATAGCTGGGACCCTAACAGGTGCTACCACCCTGGGTCAGGGCAGACTTGGGAACACCAGCAATTAAGAGGTGGTTCCACACTCCTCAAAACTTCTTGATCAGAGGCCTTGCTAATTTATAGTCTTACCCAGGATGGAGATGTAGTTTATCATCATACCCAGGACGTTTTTATGTGTATGAAGAAGAGACTTAAAGCAACAGAGATGTGGTTTGACAGAAGGATGCTGAAAATACCATTGTCCAAACATGTGAGCAACAACAAAGTTTTAGAGAAAATAGAAGTAAAAAGGATGCTTATATTTAATATTCAGAAAGAGAGAGTTGAAATTTCTAGGGCACATAATGAGGAAAGAAGATTTGGAAAGTTTAATACTCAGAGGACAGTTTGTTGAAGGTAAGAGGGACAGAGGAAAACAATGTATAACCTACCTAGTAAACTTGAGTAAATGAATGACAGACCAAGTTTTAAGAGAAATAGCAAAAAGACAAAATTTATTAAGAACTACAAAGGACAGGAAATTGTGGAGAGCCATGATCCCCAACTTCCTAATAGCACACGGCCCATAGAAAATATGAAAAGGATAATTTTAATATCAGTAGAAGAGTCCACTACATAAAAGACGAGTACTTTCCCTATCCTATATTTAATGAAGTCATCTGATGACATAGAAATAGGTTACACAAACACTGCATTTTATTTTTATATCTTAAAATATTTAACAGTTTTACTATTTGAATTTTCTAATGCATCTTAATTGATTGAATAAGCTCACAACAATAAAATATCTGTAGAAATTCCACTATCACATCATTAAATATTTAAGCTTAATAATTTTAATAAAATATTGCAATAACAATCATAAATATGAATGCTGCTCATTATTTTAAGAAGTAAGGGGGTACAAACGAAAAGATTTGAAATTGACAACTTTTTCCATTTCACTGAAAAGCAGTTATACACTTCTATCTTTCCTTCTTTCTTTCATTTTCTCATTGTAACTAAGTAACGGTTTTGATGTCTTTTTTGGCTTTCCATGCCATCAAAACGGAATAGTCTGTTATTTATGAGGTATTGCATAACAATTGTACTAACTTATGAGGGACAAGCAGAATTATAAGATGTATTAAAACTCTTAGTAAGATAATTTTATTTATTTGGTAAATGAAAAAAAAGATTAGTTAGATGGCAGCAGAGAAAGAGTGACAGGTGGGGGGGTATCTTTGTTAGTAACATATTCTGGTGGTTCCTTTGGAAATCTTTGATATTTTGTTGACGTATCTGTTCCATTTTTGCTCTTTCAGCACTGGGATCAACCTTGTCGTTAGGCAAGTCAACATAAATTAAAGTGTGCCTAGTTACTAAAAATCTGTCTCCCAGACAACATCACCCTATCTTACTAATGAGATAGGGTCAGTACATACGCTCTGATATGGCAAATGCTGTCAACATGCAAAAAGTATAAAAGACCCCCCCCCACCAACGACATTAAGCAAACCCCTCCATCATACTGCTGTTGGAATCAACTATCAGCCTTGTTCTCATTTTGGGTACAACATGACAAAAAATTGA